TTTAACATTTAAAGAAAACTCTATATACCATTTTTCATATGGGATAGATCAGCCTAAATTTTCACCGTGTATGAGTGTTCCTTTTTCTCCATATCCTCACCAAAACTTTTTTTCTGGTATGTCTGGTACTGGTCATTCAAACTGATGTGAGGTGATATCTCGTTGATTTATGTTTCCCTCATAATGGGATGATGAGCCCCTTTTCATGAGTCTGTCACCCATCCATATGTCTTCTTTGGAGAAATGTCTATAAAGCTCTTCAGTCCATTTTTGACTGGTTATTTTCTTGGTTTTGAGTTGTAAGAGTTCTCTGCTGCTCCCCTCAGTAGTATATTTCAATAAATCTGCCTGTTCTGCTCCCTCTTGTCTCTGGTGAATCCTCTCACAACCTACACCTCTGGCCTAGACACTAGTTCTTGCATACATACATTAAAAGATTTAAAAAAATAAATCTTTTTTTAAAATGTGGATAGCAAAAGAAATTAACCCAAAATGTTTCTACAGAAATTAAGTGAGAAGGCACTTAACAAAATACCTTTACAATAAATTCATTCAGCAAATTTATAAAACCACTAAAATTGTTCTCATTAGAAATGCTAATTAAGACCAAGATCCAATAAAAAATTAAAATGAAGTCATAATTTTGTTTTACTTTCCCCTCAGTTCTGAGATATAAGTAACATATAATGTCATTTAAGTTTAAAGTATACGTGTTGATTCAATACTTATATATTGCAAAAAAATTACTTCCATAGGGCCCTCCCTGGTGGCACAGTGGGTTAAAACACAGCACTAAAGAAGCTAAAGTCACTTCGTCATGAGTTCCATCCCTGCCCCAGAGGTGACCCACAAGCCGCAATAGACCTCTCCTGACCTACCCGCTGCTCCCCTCAGCAGTGTACTTCGTCAATCTACCTATTCTGCTCCCCACTCTTGTCTCTGGTGAAGCCTCTCACTGCCCTTGCACCTCTGGCTTGCACCCCAGTTCTGTAGTCACAAATAAATAAATCTTTTTTTAAAAAAATTACTCCCATAGTGTTTGCTAACACCTGTACCATGTCACATTATTACTACTTTTTCTTCGTGGTGAGAATTTTAAGACCTATCTTAGCAACTGCATGGGTGAGAGGCTCAAGGGGAGGCTGACAATGGTAGCTTTTATCTTGATTTGTACTTTTATTTTGTTCCTTGCACCCTTAGTTCCCTGCTTTTTAGGCCAATCCTGTTTGGCTAGGCACTTACCCACACAGGGATAGGTAACTTTGGGTGTTTTATTGGCAATTCATTATCCTTACTTCTCTTCTCTCTATATGGGTGTGCTATCCTATTAAAGTTATTTCACACTGAGTATGCTATGTCTTTATGTATCAGATGGCAGAACCCATTTAGAGCATACAAGTTTGGAGGCCCTAGGTTACCCCTTAGTCTACACAATAACTTAACCAGTAATAATTATGAAGGAATTCTCTTCTTGTCAGTTATCATGGCCTTTTTTTTTTTAAAGATTTATTTATTTATGCATACAGAACTGGGATATAAGCCAGAGGTGCAGAGGTGGTGAGAGGATTCAGAGACAGAGTGGAAAGCAGAACAGGCAGCTCCATGAGGTACACTGCGGAGGAGAGCAGCAGAAGGGTCAGGAAAGGTCTGTGGCACCATGTGGGTCACCTCCCCCCGGGTGGGGGAGGTGACCCACATGGTGAAGTAGCTTTAGCTTCTTCAAACTCATGCTGAAGTAGCTTTAGCTTCTCCTGTTATGGACTTTTAAAATCATATGGCCTTCATACATGATAGCACACAGACTGAAGCTACACTCAGGAAAATACTACTAAATCAAAATTTGCAAGTTTTGCAGCTAACTTGCTTTTCAAACTGTGTTTAATGATAAAAAGTCAGATTGTAGTAGTAAATGAACCAAGTATGCAAAGTATGTTTTTAAAAACACTTCATTGAGATATTGAAAATAAGTTTGTCATATTAACATGAGTAATTACTGAGTAATTTACAGGAGTCATCTCCTGGCTATACCCCATTGATATAGGCATATCGTCATCTCTACTTTATAGATTATAAAATTCAGATATAAAGAACATGTCCACTGAGGCCCTCCCTGATGGATCAGCGGTTTAAAATACAGCACTAAGAAACTAAAGTCACTTTAACATGAGTTCGATCCCCACCAGCCCTGGAGGGAGCCACATGGTGCCGCAGGCCTCTCTTGACCCACCTACTGTTTCCCTCAGCAGTGTTCTTCATCAGTCAGCCTGTTCTGCTCCCCACTTTGTCTCTAGTGAATCCTCTCACCGCCCCTGCACCTCTGACCTGTACCCCAGTTCTGTATGAATAAATAAATAAATATTAAAAAAAAAAGAACATGTCCACCATTTCACATTTTGTATATACTAATCAGGTTGGGCTTATCCTTGGCAATCTAGCTCTTGATGGCTGTGTTCCTGAGGACTGACTGCTACTTAACAGAGATATTTTTACTCCTATTGTGAATTCCAGTTACTCATAAGGGCATGTTAAATGGACTATATTTAAGTAAGTGATAACTTGAGAAAATAATGGCTAATTACTACCTTAAATATTAAAAAAAAGTAATACTTCATTCTTCTCATTGAAAAGATACTTAGTTGTGAAACATTTGTTAATTAAATGATGTATATAACAGAGAAACAAAGTCTTGAACTACAATTGACTAAAAATCTTCTGTATTTCTTTCCATTTATATCTGTATATTCTAAATGTGAATGTTTTGCATCTAGTATAAGTCTTCACATCCTACTGGCTGCACACTACTTTTATTTAGTGATATATTACTATCATTCCTCACGTTACAATTACAACATAATTTTACTGTCTTTATAAGAGCTATTTGTATAGTTATTAGATAATTTAAATAATTATAAGAAAAATTATAATATTTCTAAGAGTAAGATAACTTCCACAAGCAGACTCTCAGATTGGGTTTGGAAGTTGTTATTTTTCCCTATGATTATGATTTTTTTTAACCAAATTATTTATTTTGGAACTTTCAATACTATTAGTGAAGGACATTTCCCCCACACCTCAAGAAAGAAAAGGGCCAAATAGGAGAGGCTGAACACAATTTAACCACTCTCCCAGAGGAAGAAATGAGGTTTAAAAAGAAGTTAACAAGTAATGTCATCAATTTACCATAGTGAGAACTGAAGTTATTTAAATGAACACACTGAACAAAAATCTCTTTAGAATTTCATTAATTTTAAAATTAATACCAAAGAGTTGGATTGCTGAGGTAAAGAATGTGAAAAAATTAAAAATTTTAATCATCTTGATAGATAGTGCCTAACTACCTGCCAGAAAATTTAGAAGAGTTTACATAGCGAAAGAACTTAAATTAAAATAAGGGGCCCTCTCTGGAGGTGCACTGGGTTAAAGCAGCACTGTGAAGCTGGCTAGCCAGAGCCACTTCTGTACAAGTTCAATACACTGCCAGGGAGGTGACCCACATGGTACAGCAGACCTCCCCTGTCTCACCTGCTGCTCCTCTCAGCAGTGTACTTCATCAATCTGCCTGTTCTGCTCCCCATTCTGTCTCTGATGAATTTTCTCACAGTCCCGTACTTCTGGGCCCTACCCCAGTTCTATAAGCAAAAATAAATCTTTTTAAAAATCTAAAGTGTGGGCCCTCCCTGGTGGCACAGCAGGTTAAAGCACAGCATTAAGAACCTCAAGCCACTTCAACACTAGTTCGATCCCCGCCCCCACCACTCCCCAGAGGTGATCCACATGCCAGGCAGACCTCTCCTGACCCGCCCACTGCTCCTCTCAGCAGTGTACTTAGATGATTTGCCAGTTCTGCTCCCCAGTCTCTGGCTTCCTCTTACTTACCGCCTCTGAACCTCTGGCCTGCACCCCACTTCTGTTTGCATACATAAATAAATTATATATATATATATATATATATATATGTAATGCGTTGGCCACAAATTAGAAAACCTTATGCAAGTGCCCTCAAGAAAACAAAATTTAAAGACAGAGTAATAAATTACTATCAACCCTACATCGGTTACTATTTATGTTTTGACCATATCACAACAGATAGCAATTAACTTGTAAACTCTCCGCAGGCAATGAGTTTAATCTGTGCCTGAATATTACGTCTAGTAGGTTATTTAACTTGAAAACAATTCTGTATGGTTGTTTTCATTTTTCAAATAAGCTAAACTATAGCCTTTACAAAGTCGAGGGGAGTGCAAAAACAGACGTAAAAAAAAAAAGGTTCCTGCCCGCTTATAGTTTCCTTCTAGTGGTCAAGAGGTTCTAGGTTAAAAGACAACTTTCTGGGCCCTCCCTAGTAGCACAGTGGGTTAAAGCACTACACTAAGAAGCTGAAACCACTTCCGCATGAGTAGGATTCCCACCTGCTCTGGAGGTGACCACGTGGTTTGGCAGACCCCTCCTGACCCGCCCGCTGCTCCCCTCAGCAGTGTACTTCCTGGATCTGCCTGTTCTGCTCCCCACTCCGTCTCTGGTGAAGTCTTTCACCACCCCTGAGTCTCTGGCCTGTACCCCAGTTCTGTATGCACAAATAAGTAAATCTTTAAAAAAAAAAAAAAAAAAAAGACAACTTTCTACCACCCAATTTATCCCCCTCAGTGTCAAGAGTCAGGGGCGACTCGCAGAGCCTGAAGAAGACACGTTTCTTCCACTTTGCAAAACGAAAAAGCTGACAGGAGCAAAAAGGGGAGATGCCCTTCTAAACTTTTTCTAAATCTTCCAGGGCTATAGAGGCCAAGTTTTACCTTTCAGTCTTGGGAGACCAAGGTAACTAGACCGAGCGTAGAGAAACGCAACAACATCCACGCTTCCCAGAGTCACCTAGGTGAAGACCAACGCATGCGTCGTGCTCGCCTCCGGGCCACACCCCTCCCCTCCCGGAGCGCTCTGCGCAAGCGCGGGCACAGATTGCACCAGAGCTGGTCCTCGGCCCCTGCAGTCCTGTGGCCGCCGCTTCCCCGCCCCTCTCCCTTCCCTCTCCCGCCCCCCCACCGCGGCCACCCAGCGCCGCAGGCCTGTTGGTCGAGCTTTCGCAGTTGGGACTGCGGACTCTGACCGTGTCTGCGCCGGGGCGATCCGGGACTTAGCAGCGCTCGGCTTGCAGGTGAGCGACCCCGGACGCTCTTCCCCGGGAGCGGCGGTCTTTGGCGAGAGCGGAGCGGGCGGCGGAGGAAAGGCCGCCTGGGAGTCGGGGCGGCCTGGCTCCGGGCTGCGCGCAGAACTGGGAGAGGAAGATGTTGTCATCTTCTTTTTCGTGGGCCCAGCCTCTTGCCAAGGGGTTCCACTCTTGGGCTGGCGCCCGCGGTGGCCCGTAAGACCACCCCTCGCCCCCACCCCAAAATACGTTGATTGACTAGGTGAACCCTGATTTTATCTTGAGTCTAGCACGGTTGCCGCACCTTATTTTGAACCTTTCCGGAGTAGGCTGTGCGCTGGGTTTTGTTTATGTAGCCTAGGAAAGGCGCAGACTTTTCTTCTTTCTCACTGATCACGACCCATTTAAATTGGATGGAGTCCCATACTTTTTTTTTTCTTTTCCTCTCCATGCTGTGTCTGGATCTGTGTTGATTTTTAGTAAATAAAGAGGTCGCAATGAAAAATAAACAGGCAGCTCAGAGAGGAGAAGCAGGCCTAGTACTTCTTTATAAACCAACAAGTCCTCAACAATTGAAATGTTTAAATTGACAAGTGGCGAAGAAAAATCGAGTAGGTCCCGTACCTGACCTTGTGTTCCTTAGCCAACTCTATCAAAGCAAGAAAACAAGCCCACACTGAGTCACTTGGTTTTGCCTTCTATGTTTTTTCTCCTCTAAGACAGAGCAGTGGGATGCACTTAACTCTCTTGTTAAGTTAACTCAGATTTGGAAAGGGTTCTGAACCCCATTACCCCATTTGTCCCATTTCATCTAGGCTCCAAGGTCACAGTGTGGGGACGATGGTGCCAATTCACCCCTGAACCACCTGTGGCTGCCAAGTGTTGGTTTAGCTTGGATTTAGTCTCTTTTAACCAAATCAAGAGAACACAGTGCTTTTGTAGAAGCCATAAATCATTTATGTTTTTGAATTTATGGAGTCATTTTATACTTAGATATTTTTAATAGTAGAAACAAGCATCATTCCTCATTCTATAATTTTGTCTGTTTCATGATTTTTTTTTATTATTCTGCTGTTTACCGGCTGAGTTACTCCAAAGCATGAGACGCCAACTTTCAAAAGCAGACTTTTACTATAGGTTAAATTGAATTACCTTTAATGTTTGGTTTTACTTGTTCTAATCAATAAGATTTTTTAAAAGAAACATTATTTATATGAACAATTCATTTGTATGAGTAGCTGCATTAATCTAATTTTAGAAACCAATAAAAGATATATGGTCAAATTTATAGACATTAAATATTATTTTTAATTTCTAATTTCCCCCTTAGCTTCCCCTCAGAATATCAGCAGATTGGATTATATGATTTTAAGTTCATCTTTAAAATTGTATGGCTCTAGCTGCAATATTATTGTCCTACTACTACCTGCAGAGCTTATTTTTATAGAGGTATAAATACTAAATACTTACTAGACTTTAAATTATATTTAATTTTCCCTGTGTTATTTTTGCACATTCCTAAAATTTTGCATATTAATGTTCCAAATTTTGCTGCTTTCTATTGATGAATTTAACATGTTAAAATGTTATTTTGTATTTTTAACTCTGCTAGCTGTTAGGTGAGAGAAAAGCCTGCAGGATTTGTTGTCAGTTGGTTTTGTTGTAGATGTTGAAATGCTTAAAGCATGAGATGTGAGAGTGATAATTGTGAATTATATTTATTACAAAGGGGCATGAATTGTTTTTAAAATTTTTTTAAAGATATTTATTTATTCATACAGAACTGGGGTACAGGCCAGAGATGTGGAGGGTGAGAGGATTCACCAGAGACAGAGTGGGGAGCAGAACAGGCAGATCGATGAAGTATACTGCTGAGGGGAGCAGCGGGCAGGTCAGGAGAGGTCTGCCACACCATGTGGTCACCTCTGGGGCAGGCGGGGATCGAACTCATGCAGAAGTGGCTTTAGCTACTTAGTGCTGTGCTCTAACCCTCTGCGCCACCAGGGAGGGCCACAAAGGGGCATGAATTTTTTAAAAGCTTAAAAATACTATTTGAACTACCTGGTATGATACCTGCTATAATCTACCAAAGGCAACTATTGCCTTCAGGGTTAGTTGGTTTTCCCTTAATCCACATTATTTTGATTGAATATAATTCTAATTTAAAAAATAGTTTGAAGTTTATCTAAATTTATATTTATATAAATATCCTATGGTATTCTTTAATATTTGATTTTTAGATTTAATATATGTCCATATTTAGCATTTTAAATAATCTAAGGTATTGAATGCACATTTTCCCCTCTTTTTAGACATGGGAAAGTCTTTTTCCCATTTACCTTTGCACTCAAATAATGAAGACACCTATGATGGACTCACATCAACTGAAAATATCAGGAATGGATTGATTAATAATGAAGTCCATAATGAAGATTCAAGAAATGGAGATGTCTCTCAATTTCCATATGTGGAATTTACAGGAAGAGATAGTGTCACTTGCCCCACTTGTCAAGGAACAGGAAGAATTCCAAGGGGTATGTATTGTCACTTTAATTTATGCTTCCTGGCATTTGAACAAATATTAAAGCCCACAGGTCTAAGCACAACCCTTTGTTTATTTTAAAAGACTCAGAATTAAGGTTAAAACTGCCTATCATTTATCTTTAGTCAAAAAGACACCAAACCAACAAAAGTAAAAGTGTAGTAGTGTCAACTAACGTTCTTAAAGCAGTAATGTGAACTACCACTCTAACTCCAAAATATTTTCTTTCTTACGTGTTAGAATAGCAAATATGTCTCTTGACTGAAAACTTTTAGTTCTGTTTGGCATCATTTGAGTTCCTGTCACGTCACTTTGCTGTAATTGGTGTTCTGAGCAAGGTAAATGATTCGGTGATGTATTATTTTTAAGTATCTAAAAAGTAATAATAAGTTGTTCATACTGTAATTACTTATTTTGAAAAGGAATTACATGAAAAAGGTTGGTATAAGAAGATGCTCTAAGCAGGAAAAAAATAACTTCTGGCATATCATGTGGGAAGTCATGATATGCATGTGTGCAGTTTGTAAGCTACCATAAATGTAGTGGCAACAATAGAAGTAATAAACATACCTGGCACTGGTTAAATTTCTGCTTGCTTGAAGTTGGTATGTAATATAAGTCCAAAAGAGATTGTGGATAGTCAGAAATCAAGGATGACTCCAATGTTATCCCTCCTCTCCTCCCCAAACAGGGAGAATGGAATATTTATTAAGATACAGAATAGTGTTGGAAGGCAGTTATGTGCACCACTATACCACCAATACAAGATAGAGAAAAGATTTTTCTGTGTGTCATAGGAGAGATCAGAAGCTCAATTTTAGATACAGTCATTTGGAGATACATATTTACTATAACTGTTTCAGTAAACAGTTATAATGAAGACATAAATTCAAGCACAAGAGATGGAAAGAGGCACAAAATGATGTAAAAATAAACTGTTATATTGAAATTAAATTAAACTAAAAATTCAAGCTCAAGGCCTTGGTGGCCTCTTCAGTACACAGAGATGACAAAAGCAAGTTGAATGAAAGTGCCAAGCTCAGTGTGAATAGAAAGAAGAGACTGGAACACTGAACTTTGGAGCATTTTAGCATTTCAAAGTCAGTGGCATGGCAAAAAATTAGCAAAATTTGAAAAAGAGCAGTTAGAGTAGGAGCAGGAAATTCCTGTTTCTGTGATGTCTTAGAAGATGAATGAAGAATGAATGAGGGAAGCAAGATTTGCTACTTTACAATATGTCTATTTGATATATGTTTTTTTTTACCTAGTTATTTTTAAGAAACAACAAACAGGCACTCCATGGTGGCCAAGCAGGTTAAAGAAAGTGTTGCACAGCCAGTTGGACCCCACCCCCTCGTCTGAGGTGATCCACTTGGCAAGGCAGACCTCTCCTGTCTCCCCTCAGCAGTGTATTTTGTCAGTCTGCCTGTTCTGCTCCCAGCTCTGTCTCTGGTGAGCTCTCACCTCTCACCTCCCCTTTACCTCTGGCCTATACACCAAATAAATCTTTTTATGTATATATAAAAGAAACAACAAACATAGGAGAAACTCACAATTCGTAAGAGACGTTTACAGGCATAAGCAAAAATCTATTTGTCTGGTTGTCTCCTTCACTGTACCCAGGAACAGGGAGTTGACCAAATCTCTTTATTTCTTATCAGTGGAAAAAGCAGACGTTTAAATGTGCATAAATACCTTACCTTGTTTGCAGTCCTTTTCTGATAATCTCTCATAACTGACCTTCTTCCCATTCCTTCTCACCATCCTACCCTTAGCTGAAAATATTATTTAAGGAGTGGCTTAGGCCATTTTGACTAGTTATCCAATTTTCCTTACATATATACAGTAGGAACACATGTTACTTTTGTTAGTGTTTCTCCTGCTAATGTCTGTATTTATTGTAAGGATGTATTAACCAAGAACTTAGGACAACAGAAGGCACTCACTTTTAATCATCACCTTAATGAGTGTTAATATCCTATGTATTGAGCCCTAAATCATTATATAATATCCATCCCTGTCTCTTGTTACCTTTTTTGACTCTTTCTCTTTTGGCCCCATTTATTTGTGGGATTTTTATTTTTTAGCTTTTTTACTTTGAACTTATGCTTACTTTGGAGCCCAGCTATGCTCCTGGAGACTCTAGAAAGTTCAGTTTTGTTTTATTTTCAAGCCAGCTGCTTTGCTTCATAATTGGTGAGTTTGTTTCATTTACATTTAGATGAGAACCTGCTACCACTTTTTTGTTCTTTTCTAGTTCTATCCATGTATTTCCTTGTTCAATTTTTTTTTAAAGATTTATTTATTTAAAAAAAAAAAAGATTTATTTATTTATGCATACAGAACTGGGGTATAGGCCAAAAGTACATCAGTGGTGAGAGGATTCACCAGAGGCAGAGCAGAGAGCAGAAAGGCAGATCAAGAAAGTACACTGCTGAGGGGAGCAGGGGCGAGTCAGGAGAGGTCTGCCACACCATGTGGGTCACCTCCGGGATGGGGATCGAATTTGCAGTGAAGCAGCTGCCATGAGCTTCATGGTGCTGAACTTTATCCCATTGTGCAACCAGAGAGGACCCTCCTTGTTCAATTTTTTATGGACTTTATCCTCTTTGATTTAGATAGGAGATCTCCTTTTCACATTTAAGTCTAGTGTTGGCCAGATCTTGCAGCTTTTATTTGTTGGGCATGCCTTTATTTATCCCTCATATCTGAAAGAGCCTTACAGTATAGTGTTTTTGGTTGTATTCTTTGAATATTTTTTATGTCATTCATTCTCTCCTTGCCTATAATATATCTGCTGAAATGTATGATGAAAGCTTGGTGGGAGTATCTTTATGTTTCCTCTTATTTTGCCCTGAGGTGCCTTCAGAGGTCTTCCATGGCTTTCTCTAGAATTTGTTTTTGTTTGTTTGTTTTTACGCATACAGAACTGGGGTATAGGCTAGAGGTGCAGGGGCGGTGAGAGGATTCACCAGAAAGATTGGGGAGCAGAACAGACCGACTGACAAAGTACACTGCTGAGAGGAGCAGTGGGCGGGTCAGGAGAGGTCTGCTGCACCATGTGGTTACCTCTGGGGCAGGGATCGAACTCATGCTGCAGTGGCTTTAGCTTCTTAGTGCTGTGCTCTAACTGGCTGTGCCACCAGGGAGAGCCCTAGAGTTTTTATTTTTTTTTAAATCTTGTTTATTGAGCTCTTTACAGCCTGAATTTGTGCCATTTTTTTAAGCTTCAATTTCTACCTTCTATTCATTTTATTTCTGAATTTATTCATTTTCCTTAATTGTCTTATATTTCTTTGATTAGCTTGTATCACTTGTCTTTTTGAGTTTCTTTGTTATAGCAGTGTTAAACTCAGAGAAATACTCTTTCATGTCTTTGTAGTTATATTCTGGAAAATTTTGTTCTCATAATGTCATATTCCCTCAAGTTTTCAAGTCACGTTGTGTTACATTTTTTGTCTGTGTCTGTCATTTCCCCCTTTTAAAAATATTTCTTGCAGTAACATGGGGAGTTGAACCATTTTACTTTTCTACAGGTGGCACTGTGGTTTTATTAGATTTGGATTAATTTTCTTTTTTGGCCTTTTCTGACAAAAACCTGTTTTTGCTGTTGCTGAGTCAGGTAGGGGAAGGTCCTGGAGAACTCCAACTGCTGGTGTAATGTGCTTGGGGGCCATGGGGGGTTGCCTTGTATTTATGACACCACTAATATTCTTCCTCTCTGAGTTCTAGATCTGGCATTCTTTTGTCTGTGCACTGTCAGTGCATTTCTTGAGGTGAATACCAGTAGTTCTGACAGTAGAACTAAAGTGTCATCTTGAGCATCAAAACTCTTAGGAGTGTCATCTTCGGCATCCAAAGTCCATCATATGTTTTCCCCCTTGTTCAAGGCATGTGTCCCATCTGCTTGCTGCTCTACCTACTCCAGACTCTCTGTTGGTGTCTCTCTACCCTAAGCCTCCAAGCATTTCTTTCCCCCTACCTCCAGTGAAGCATGACTCTCTCTTGTGTTTCCTCTGTTGCTTAGTGTTTTCTCTGATGCCCAATGGGGTGTCCCACTTTTACTCCAAGCCAGCATGGGATGCTGGGTATGATTTCCCTTGGGGAACTGTTAGCTATTCCTCTAAGGAGCAAAGCAAGGAATCTCTTCCGTTGCCATCTTCGTTAGGGTCTTAGGAGAGATTTTTTTTAAAGATGGAGTGAATAATATGTTTTATATACTAGTAAGAATAATCCCATAGAGTAAACTTTAATAATGATGGAGATGGGAGACTATTAGATCTTGTGCACAAGTACAGAGGGCTTCTCTTGCAAGGAACATAGTTTACTCTTAAGTGATAGGAGAGCAGATAGAGTGTATGGACATAGGAGCTTTGCTTTGGTGAACACAGTGATGGGAGCTTGTGGAAATTCTCTTCTGTTTGCCATGTCATGAGCTAAAGAGTAAAGGTAGGAAAGAAGATACTAGAAGTTTGGGGAGGTGAAGTAAGGTAATTGAAAAGTCAGATTGAAAATATATATATAACTATGGAAAGAAATATACTATGTTTGTTGGTATTATTAATGACCATTTGAAAGAATGAAATAAAATGAGACCAGTGAACATAGTTTGACATCATTATCTACTCACATTTATTTATGAATATAAGTATAATAGCTAAAAGGTTGATTCTAACTGGGATTGTGGCTTAACTAAATGAACAAGACATCAGATGATCAGACAAGATGGGATATGTGAACACACATAGAGACAGACATGTGCAGTCATGCATTGATTCTGTATTCACATCATTGTGTGAAACAAGGCTGTTGCTCCGTTATAATAAATTATTTGAACTTACAGATTCTGTGAGCTCATTGAAAGCAGAGTAAATATTCATTGTATTTAAGTTATAAAAGTTGGCCTTTGATCAACTTCTTGTAAGCAGAGGACATAAACTTTACAGTATCAATAAATAGAACATAACACTATGAAAGTATTTTCTTCATGATTTTTCTTGATAACATTTCCTTTTCTCTAGCTTACTCTATTATAGGGATAAAGACTATATTAAGTACAATACTTAAAATATGCGTAATTGACTGTTTATGGGTAAGGTTTCTGATCAGCAGTAAGCAATTGGTAGTTAAGTGTGGGGGCAGTTAAAATTTATACTCTGACTTTTAACTGTGTGTAGGCTCAAAACCACTAACCCCTATGTTGTTCAAGGGTCAACTGTATGTATATGTGGGTGTGGTGGAGGAAAGTGTAAATGTTGGGAGAGCAGAGGAAAAATCAGAAAGGAATAATGGAAGCATATGGAAAACTTGAAAAAAAGAATCTGCATTTGGTTACTGCTTTAATAGGTAATATAAAGAGTTAAGTTCTGGTACTTTGAGAAGTTGGTACTTAAGGCCTATTTTCCATTAAAGCATAAGGATATAGTTCAACCTAAGAAAAAAATAATATGTTTTGAAGTGGTTTAATGTGGAGAGTTATATGGCCTGAAAGATTCCTGGAAGGCTTATTATGTAGGAGCTTTTGAAGTGTGAGACTTAGTATGTGTCAATTTTGTTATTTAAGGAGGATAATGTAAAAACCTTGGTAGTTAAAGGGATTTTGGTACACAAAAGAAACTTCTGTTTTTATCCAGATAAAAAAAATAGTCTTAATGGAAGCCTGTGAGGTTGAAGGAAGGTCTAGTGAGGACTTTCTTTGATTTTTTTCATTGGAAGAAACAATTACAAGAGTGAACTTTATCATTCCTAATACTATTTCAGTTAGCTAAATACCTACGTACGGGGAAAAAAAGAAAATAATATCTGCTTTGGAAGTCAGTTTCTACTGTTTACTTTTTGAAGATTTTGAGAGCAGTTTACTAAAGGAATGAGATAAGAACCAGATATTATTCTGATTGTCTAAACCACTTTGCCTAGGAAACCATATTTATATATATTTTTAAAGATTTATTTATTTATTTATACAGAACTGGGGTACAGGTCAGAGATGTGGAGGGTGATAGGATTCACCAGAGACAGAGTGGGGAACAGAACAGGTAGATCGACGCAGTACACTGCTGAGGGGAGCAGCGGGCCGGGTCAGGAGAGGTCTGCCACCCATGTGGACCAGGGCAGGCAGGGATCGAACTCATGTGGAAGTGGCTTTAGCTTCTTAGTGCTTAGTGCTGTGCTTTAACCCGCTGTGCCACCAGGGAGGGCCATATACTTATATTTTTTAATAAGTCATGTTAGAATTTTCTAAACCCTGTGTTTTTATTTTAGGGCAAGAAAATCAACTGGTGGCATTGATTCCATATAGCGATCAGAGATTAAGACCAAGAAGAACGTAAGTGATTATAAGAAAATGGCATTTTATTTATCTTTTTCCCCCTGCTTTTCAAACTATGTGTAATTGCTCTAATTGTACTATTAAGACGGAAAATGTTTGATGTTGCTAAGTATACAATAGAGAATTTTCATTTTAATAAGTAACTGGCAATAATTCACTAAAATGGAGGTTTCATTTTCTCTAGTGTGGAGAGAGTACCAACAATTTTGCTTTTGTGAATTAAAAAAAAAAGCCTTGAAATCTATGTTTTTAGAAAATTTTCCATCTTGATTCTAATATGCAACCTGGTTTGTGAATGACTACAATAATGTTCTGTCCTTAATAAGCCTAATATTAAGTCTCCATCTTTGGGGGGAAAAAAACTTAGTGAGTAATGTGGGTTTACAACACTGCATAGGGGTAAGTCATCTTTTAAGAATAACATAGAAGGGCCTTCCTGGTAGTCCAGGGGCTCAGGTAGTGTATGGGTTAAAGTCTCAGCACTATCAAGCTATCATAGCCACTTTGATCTGGTCTGAGTTTGATATCTGGCCCAGAAGCTGCCCCACATGGCCCAACAGACCTCTCCTGCCTTGCCCTCTGCTCCCCTCAGCAGAGTATTTTAGAAGATATTCTGCTCCCACTCTTCTGGTGAATCCTCTCACTCTTCCCACTTCCCCACCCCCTGCAGCCCTGGTCTATACCCCAGTTCTTATATGCATAAATAAGTAAAAAAAAAAAAAATCTTTAAAAACCCTATTCAGTACTTTCATAATGTAAAATATTGGTGAAATTATACATCTTTATCTGCTGTATAATGAGCAAATTAATTTGAAAATATCTTTTCTAGGTGTTTCAATATGTAATTTGTATATTTAAACACTTCATTTTCATTTCAGAAAACTGTATGTGGTGGTTTCCGTGTTCGTCTGTCTACTCCTTTCTGGACTGGCAGTGTATTTCCTTTTTCCTCGCTCTATTGATGTGAAATACATTGGTGTAAAATCAGCTTACGTCAGTTATGATGTTCAAAAGCGTGTGGTATATTTGAATATCACTGTAAGTACAAATCCTTAAAAATATTTTAATCACTTTTGTCGTGTTAAATAACACCTTTGTTCTTTTTAGCCAGATGTTAACAGGACATGGTAAGCATGACACAGGTTAGTTTGCTTTTTAATCTTTGCCGTATTGATTTTCTTTACCATTTCTGATTCTGCTGACAGTGGTAAGTAAACAAACAGTGGTAGTTATGTATACAGAATTCTTTAACCTTTAGGAGGGTAAAATGAACTAAGCAATTAACTGAATGTAAATGAAGTATTGATAATCCATTTACTTTTCAACATTTGATCTAATAGCTTCTACCAATGTGTTACATAGTTTATTTGATAGATATTATAAATGTGATATTTTTGTTTCCTTGAATATTGCGTTTAATTAATCACAGTGAAATAACACTGAAATTTGCCATCTTTAACAGACCATGACTGATTTCTCTTTAAAGTACTATGTGTGAAAATGTCCTGTGCGTCCCCAGGACCTGACCTTTTTGTTTTGGACTCTGCATCTGCTTCACTCCTCAAGACAAAGAATCCTCAGGGAAGACATTCTATTTGTCTTACTATTAACAACAACAAAAACATATTATGTGCAAACTACATTTTTAAGAGGAATACATGTACTGATTATGGCATTGGCTATCATTAGTAACTTTGAGCCTCAGTGTATCTGTGTGGCTGTGATCTGTTTGGAAGAGAGAGATCAGATATTAATTGGGTTCTTAGCAGAGGTGGTTGGTGTGCTTGAGGTTGGAGTAGATGTTGGAGTAGATCTATGGTGAGGGGTATGAGGTAGGACAGGATAGGAAACAAAGGAAAACAGTATGTTAAAGTAGGATTGCTTTTAAATTGCAAGAAAAAACCCTCAATGAATCCACTTAGTCCCATAGCTTGCAGTCAAAAGTTGTTAATCTAAGTTTTTTCTCTTAAAAAAAAAAAACTATATGGAACAAATATATGTGCATAAAATACTCACAACACATTGCTACTTTTACAGACATTTGGAACCAAGAACATAGCAAAGTTTCCTTTTTTGGACAATGTTTACAGCCATGACCAGATGTTTTTTTGCCAATCTCTAGGGCCTCTTCTCATATCAGATACTATAAATTTACAATAAAAAGTAATAATGCCATGTGACAGTTCATTTAAATGCCAGGATATATTTACATGTAAATATCATACTTTGTTTTAAATAAGAAATTCCATATTCGGAAATAATAGCATATAATTCAATTGAGAAAGACTGTAAATAAACAAGTTATAAAAATAAATATTATATTTAGGCCTCCCTGGTGGTGCAGGGGTTAAAGTTAGTGCTGTCAAGCTATCACCAGCCTCTGCAGCATGAGTTCAATCCATGGCCAGGAAGCTGACCACGTGGTACAGCAGACTTCTCGTGTCTCACCTGCTTTTCTCCTTAGCAGTATGTTTCAGTAGATCTACCTGTCTGTTCACCTGTTCAACTTCCCAAAATAAATAAAAATAAATCTTAAAAAAAATGAAGATTAGATTTAATTTGTTGACAATGAAATAAATCCAAGATATAAGTAGCTTCTCTACCAGTATTTTAAAAGTTGTTGCTACATAATAATATTGCTTTTGTTTCTTCTATTGAGTACTATGTATTAGTATTACTCATTGCTTTTTTGGTAACTTTTATTCTCTTTCCACATATGAAAAAATACCTTTAGATAACATTTGAAAAATACCATAATGTGTAAAAATGTTTACTACTGTTACTTACACCTCTCTGTTAATGTGGATACATATCTGCTAATAATGAATATAAATTCACATACTTGAATATAGTTATAAATGTAGTCAGACATTCTTGTCATTATGAAGATACACACATAAACATGCATATGCATATGTGTATATTAAGTATATGCATGTGTATTTTAACTGTTAGCTCACTGCATTTTATACTGTATTTAGTTACATGTAGCTCTTTACGTGAGTGCATTATGATCATTTTCTTAATATATGTTCACTTTTGCTGTTGTAAATATTCAGAAAATACATTTGTACTTAACATTTTGTTTCGGTTTTAGATTATTTCTTTAGAATAAACTGAAAATACGTCAATAAATTATAATAGCTTAAGGCCTTAGATAATAAATTCTGTTTATTGGAGTTTTCTCATTATTGAAAAGCTTATGATTATGAGCCCTTGATTTACAGATAAGTGAATTTTCACTGTTCTCAGAAACAAAATGCCTTTTAGTACTGTTTTTGTTATTTCTCTTTTCTTTCCTGATATTTGTGTTTTTCCCCTAATTCCTAATATATATTTTTTCCAAGTACTTATAATTCTCTTTGTTCTCAAGCTGTTTTTAACTATTGATCCCTTTAATAATGAATGCTGTGAACTCTTCAAAGAAAAGACATAGACGAACATTATTTTTGTTTGTAGAGAAAATTGTAAGATTCTCCCAACTCCCATTGCTCGGTCTGTATCAAAAAGTACATTGACAGCAAAATAATAATTTTCTTACAGTGTCTAGAAATGGACTTGATATGGGTATTAAGACTGAATTATATAAGCATATTTATATCCTTAATAAAGATTACTTCTATATTATAGAATTGCATTTTACATTTATAACTATACATGGATGCATAAATATCATCATATACTTGATCTCTATCATAGTTTTTAATGTCCATTATCATTGTGCAATATGATTTTTAAATTAGCAAATGGGTTATGGATAATGTACAATTAAAAAGAGTTAAAACTGAACCTACGTAATCTACTTTTCATTTTTCAAAATTTCTTCTGAGTGTATTTTCCTTTCTGCTATTCCATAAAACATCTTTTCCATTTCTTTCTCCATATTCATATTAATTTACTTGTTTGATTTTTCTAAAATCATTGTGTTCAACAAAAACAATTTTTATGTATTTCTTCGCTTTCTCACATGATAATTCCGAAAAATCTCTCAATTATTTAGTTGAAAGTTAATCTGCTGTTTTTAATGACAACATAATAATTTGTTAATCATTCCTTTTTATGGATCAGCATTCCCTGTAGCTTCAGGCTTCTGTTATGTTTTTTGCTTCTGTCTCCACAAAGAACACTGGTATTAAGTTCCTGATATTTTTACTTCTGTGAGGAAGATTCTGAGAAATAGTGTTGCTAATGTCAAGGGTATAGATATTATTTATTTGTGTAGTCATTGCAAGATTACTTATCAAAATAACTAGTGGTTCACATGTTTGCCCTGTCCCTACCAGAAATAAAATGTCACTTCTTGCAAGTTTTACTGGTTTGATGGACATAAGCAATATTCCATTTTACTTCAGTTGTTTCCTTGACTGTAAGTGAATTTGAAAAAATTTAAATGTTTCTTGGCTATTTATATTTATATTTTTATGATCTTTACATAAATTTTTGCTCTTTTGTTTTTGTCCTATTAAAACTTTGTCTTTTTTATTTTAGTTTGTAAGTACTCTATGTGAAATTATAGGTGGTAACTACTGCTGTATCTGCTTTGGATGTATTTCTTCAAGATTTATCATTTATTATAGTACATTTTTGCCGTGATTGCTTTAGATGCTTTTTTAACTGTAATATCTTCATTTAGCATTGACTATTATTGAAAATACTGAGATAGTAGTTGTGAGTTAGAATTATGGAATGTTATAGATATAACTCGACTTCTTTTTAATCAGTTGGATTTGAATCTTTTCTTTTTCATCTCCATATTGCCCTGGTATAAATATTCACTCATATATAAATTAAAATACCAACTTTTTTAAACATAGTGTACTTAAAGTGCTATTTAATGTTTTAAGTGGTCATGTGTATATTTAATACAGTAGGAAACAACCTACAAATATAATATGTAGAGTCATGTATATTCTCATCTAATAAAATTTTAATTATGTGCTTATTATAGGCAAGTATTTATAGACATAGTGATCATCCATAAAATTAGTTCATTAAATATTTGACATTTTTGATAATACTTATCTCCCTCCTAAAAAAAATGAAGTATGGCCATAGCTGAAGTGATTTTCATTAGATTTGGAGTATTCACTATGCTTATTTTCAGATTAACTTTTATATTTTCTGCTTCCTCTCTTTTGTAGAACACACTAAACATAACGAACAATAACTTCTATTCGGTTGAAGTTGAAAACATAACCGCTCAAGTTCAGTTTTCAAAAACAGTTATTGGAAAGGCACGCTTAAACAATATAACCAATATTGGTCCACGGGATATGAAACAGGTAAGCCTCAGTCATGAAATACTTTGGATGACTCAAATAAGTCTCAGTTTTGTGTATAGTATTAACATGAGAAAAGTGGAGGATTTCCTCAAAAACTTTACTTTGAAATGTATCCTATGCACGTAGAAGAAACAATCTTAAAATCAGACTCATAAAGTGAAAGATTTCTAAAGTTCTAAATTAATTAATTTATCTAAAATTCTTTATTTTTTTATTCTCTATTTTCTTCTTTTGCCTTTCAGATTGATTACACAGTACCTACTGTGATAGCTGAGGAAATGAGTTATATGTAGTAAGTTTTAATTTTTAATTATTTTCTTGTGTTGAATATGAAAATATGAAAAAAAAAGATATAGACATGAAGTACAAAATTACAGTTTGGTTCCCAGTTATTATATTCTTTCCTGTTTTCCTTGCTGCTATGAACAAATCTGCAAAGATATCTCTGAAATGTATGTCATGAAGTATTTTCCCTTGTTTTCTGTGGTTTGAGGTCTTACCTCTTCAGTTGCTTTTTTATATGGTATGAGGTAGTGGGAAAAAAACATTTTTTGACTATTCTTTTTGGCCTCTGATTAACTCAGTTCTTAACTCCTTTTTCTTTCATCGTGTATCCTGGAACAAATCCTACTTGGTCATAATGTGTGTTTCTTTTAATGTATTGTTGCATGTGATCTGTAGAGATTTTGTTGAAGATTTTTATATCCATTTTCTTCAGGGGTTTGTCTGTAGTTCTACTTTTTTGTGGCGTCTTGTGCTGGTTTTGGTGTCAGAGTAATATTGGGCTTATAAATATGTTTGGAAGTATTTCTCTTTTCAGTCTTTGAACGACTTCCTCTTTGAAGGTTTGTAGAACTCTGTAGTAAAACTGTCTGGTCGTGGACCTTTGTTTTTGAGAGACCTTTGATTACTGTTTCAATTTCCTTGCTTATAACTGGTCTGTTGAGGTTTTCTATTTCTTCCTAATTCAGGTTACATGACTATATTTCTGTGAATTTTTCTATCATCTGGTTATTTAATTTTTCTAGCTTGCAAGTGTTCATAGTAGCTTATTATGTTACTCTGAATTTCTGAGTTGTCTGTTGTTAACAGCTCATCTTCATTTCTAATTCTATTGGTGTTTTCTCTCTCTCTTTTTTTACTTTGCCAACCTAACTAATGGTTAATTTATTTTTTCAGAGAACTAGTTTTGGTTTCCATAATCTTTTGAACTTTTTAAATTTCATTTATTTGTGTTCTGATTTTTATTATTTCCTTCCTTCTAATGTCTTTTGGATTTTGTTTGTTCTTTTTCAAGTTCCTTATGGTGCATGATAGTATTATTTGATCTGTTACTTGATTTGTTAGCCTGTATTACATGTACTTCTCTCTTTTTACTGCTTTTGCAGTATCTTCATTTTCATTTGTCTCAAGTATTTTTTAATTTTTTCTTTGAGATCCATCTCTCTCCATCCAATTTTGTTGAATGAAGTTGAAATAATTCCTTAGTGATCTGATGGACCTAGTTCTAGGCTGAGTTTGAAGCTCTGAAGCTTTTAAGTTGGATTTAAATGATTCTAATTAATAAGTAGAAATCATTAAAAGTATTCATAGACTATTTTTTAGAAGTCTACTGTACAATTTCTAAGTAATGAACAAACTGGTTAGTGAATTTGATAAAGTGAACATAGTAGAAGTAATTGTAGTCCATTGTTAAAAAAACTTTAATTGCTGTAGTATGGAGACATTTTTAGAATAAGAAGTCATGAAGTGATTAAACATCCCTTGAAGTGTAGGAAATGCTCAACCAGAAAATAATTTTGTATCATGGCTTAATAGTAAGTGTATTTTAGCTTTAACACAGAAAAAATATAAATAGTAAATAAAATACTTTAAATTTATAATGTCATAGTTTACATTTATCCACACTGCTTTTTTCTTTAACAGTGATTTCTGTACACTGATATCCATCAAAGTGCATAACATAGTGCTCATGATGCAGTAAGTATGAGACTTTCTTTGTACAAGAGATATTTCCTTGGTCAGACTTCAGATTTATATTGGCTTGTAACATAGATGCCGTCATTACAAGTGCCATCTCAATTGGGTTGGAAGCCTTAAAAGAGTTCTATGAGGTCAAAAGGTACCTATTATCCTACTTTACAGAGGAAGAAATGGAAACTCAGAGAAATAGTAAAGGGTCACTTGATTAAAATAGTGAATGTGGACCTAGCAAGCACTCAGGAGAAAATGATCTGATTGGCATAGGAGGAAAACTCCTAGCTCAACATTCAGTTTCTTGACTGTTCTGGTAATGATCATTAATCGTAATAAGAAATAATGCTATCAGGTTTGTAAATTGTCACCATCCTAAGTCAATAAAAAATTTCAAGTTTCATGTTTTGGCCATTAACTGACATTTGATTAGCTTCTTTTACCTGGTAAAAAACTGCATCATCATTTTGAAGCAGATCATGAATGAACTTGTTTAACGTGTTTTGAATAATTGTATTTGTTGTATATAATTATTTGGTTAGGGTTCCTCAGGAAATTTTTCTGTTGTTTCTTAGAGAAATATCCTGTAAAAGACCCATTGTCCACAAAGTTAATATTAATCAAATAACTAATCTCTCTGGAGAAAATTTTGAGGTACTTTAGCAAAGTACTGAATAATTTTATATATGTATATATCTAGTATATTCATTATTTCTCCCCATTTATTTCTTTGTAGAGTTACAGTGACAACAACATATTTTGTACACTCTGAGCAGATATCCCAGGAGAGGTACCAGTATGTTGATTGTGGAAGGAACACAACTTACCATTTGGGGCAGGCTGAATATCTAAATGTACTTCAGCCACAACAGTAAAAACTGAAAGAATTGTCCCTGGAGAAGAAGAAATACTTATTAATGTTTTTCAAATTTTCAGAGATGAAGTACTTCCTTATAGGTCCTAAATCAAACAAACCTAAAGTTTACATTCCTGTTTAAAGAGTACAGTTAAAAGTATGTGGACTTAGCATTACTACAGCTCCCCATTCTGTGGTCATGTTTGTAGCAGGCTCTTTTACTTGACTCTAAATTCACTGTTTGGTTTTCTTTTACATCCTGCCCCCAGAGGGGAAAACTGAAATTTTTCCTTGAAGGACAATAAATAATTATTTAAAAATCAGAGCTCTAGTAACTGTTGAAAATATAATTTTAGTGATGAGCATAATTTAAGAAACTTTATTTCTGATGTTTTTATAGAATTTTACTAAATCTTCATGGGAGAATATTAAAGAGTAATCTTCTTTTCCTGTTTTATAAATTATCATTGCTACATGGTAGTATTGAAGTTACATATTTTAGCTTTTAGCTAAATGTATTTAATTTTTCACTTATTGAAATTATCATTTGCATGTTTTTGTTAGTCTTTTTAGCCAGTGCTTGATTTATCACTTACAAACCAAATAATCTTTGCAAAAATTCTGTAAAGTTTAAAAAAAACCTAAATAATGTATTTTACATGTCTTTCCATGTTACAATTTTTTAAATTTTTGTGTGAATTCATAGTCATTTAATGTACAATAATGTAAATAAATTTGTGCATGGTTTTTATATAGCTTGAATAATATATAAAACAATACAGTTTCAAAATAAAGTAAGTTGCTTGTAAAAAAGTAAATGAAGTAGGAAAATGAAATTCAGAAACCTATAAAGTGTGAATATGGTTCTAGTTATATGTTGAATCAGGCACAAAGTAGATTTGGGATAGACTATTGTGATGTTCCACTTGTTTTAAATCTTATCATGTTAAAGAATTGTGAAGACAATTTTTTTTTCATAGCCATCAGGTGTACAAGTCATAAATTATATAAATGCAGTAGAGTAAAAATAATTTCTTTGGTGAAAATTATGACTACTTGATAGCAATTTTGTCACTAAACGGTAGTCGTTATGTCAGAGTAAATCTGTATACAAATAAACATTTAGTTACTTTGATATCACATGGATATCATACCTTCCAGAGTTACATTTTAAAAGTTTTCTACTTTGGGTTTGAACATTTAAAATTTCTTTCAAATATAAGCTATTGACTTGCTCACTTTGCTGTTTTATATTTTTAGTACCATTTTTCATTTGGGCTTTTTGTCTGTTCACTTGCTAAGTCCCACATACTTTTAAAATATATACCACTGAGCATACGGGCTGACTGTGATACCAAAAAAAAAAAAGTTTAAGTGGCTTGAGATTAATTTATTTCTGTCACCTAGTGACAGAAATTAACTCCTCCCACCCCTAAAAGTGCCTAATACATCTGGAAATACCTGCTTATTTACTCTCTCAACTATAATACATAAACTTTATTTAATTATTTAGAAGTAATAAAGCCCTCCTTTCTGTCTTTTAACACTCAGGCCTCCCCTTAGCTTTTCTCTTGAATGCACATTTTATATTAGTGCAATATATTAACTTCTTTATTTTTTAATTTCACTACCCAGTCTTCTCCTAATCCATTAATAACTCATTTACCCCATTTTTACAATTAAAGTTAATGGTTTTTAACAAAAACCTTTATTTTAATTATTTTTCTTCTGTTATTTTTTTGACTATTCCCATACTCCTTGCACTTTAGCAATGTATTGATTTTACTTGTATTTTTCAGATCATTCTTATTAATTTTTCTCATTCCCTATCTTTTGACATCCTTTTTTTTAATCATTGTTTATTAAAGAAAAACACTATGTTTCAAATTTAGTTGTCTGTGAATACAATTTAAACTCTTTGGCCTCAAAATTTCTACCCCGTGACTTCAATAAATATCTGCTGTAGGGCTTCCAAGTGTCTCTGCATACCTACCTAGTTGTCTGTCTAGTTCCCTTACTTATCTAGTGACTCTGTATAATTAAAAAAAAAAGTTAACAGCATTTTTTTACTACATTGTTTTACCTTGTCCTCATGCCCTACTTATTTTAAAATCATCGACTATTTCTTCAAAATCATTCTTCAATATGTTTCATGTAGAAAATAATCTTGATTTTTTTTCCTGCCTTTTATAACCATGGACAGTATGTTTTGTAAATTAAATGGATTTTTCTGCTTTGTGATTCTTATCTCGTTTTAGAGTGCATGCATTTTACTGAATAGGAAAGTGAGGGAACATTTGCTATCAGTGCTTAGTCTGCACACCTTTTCTTCATTCTTTAAAATATTTTGTTATAGCTATTTTCAGTTGTGTTTATAAGAAAAGAAACTAGAATTTAAAACAAAAACTAGTAATAGAGAAATGTTGATCACCTGTAACTACTTTCTGAAAGTATTAAATAGCTGTCAGAATAAGCCTATAATAAAGCAGGCTGTAAATTAATAGAACTACAAAAGCATATTCAAATAAAGTGGATTCATTGCCAGTAAAAACATCTGGAGATAGGTTTTAACTTTTCTTAAGTTAATGTCTATTCTTACATGATAACAAAATAGGTACCAATATTTAAAAAAAAAAAAAAAACTGCTGTCAGATTTATCCAAAGAACAAGAAAGAGGTGTTACAAAGAGCACTAAGCTCCTCATCTTTTCTGAGTAAGGAGAGGTACGGAAAGTTTAGGAACTTACTGAAGATCACATACTGAGTGAATTATTTATTTTTTTTTGGAATCAGGCAGTTTTAGCCTTTTATATATATATATATATAGGCAGTTTTTGTCTTTTATACACACACACACACACACACACACACCCAGTCATTTAAAATACTTAAATACTTTGGAAAGCCCTGCTGGATTCAAGTTAGAATGACTAAATATTAAGAGAAACTGATTAGTTAATAATGAAAATCAGAATGGTACTGATAGGCAAAGACTTACAAAACTAAGTTGGTATATGACAGTGAGCAAATGCAAAACATGTTAGTACATAATCTATAGCTTGATTTTTTTTGTTGTTAAAATTTAGTATTCCTTGTTCATTCCAATAAAGATACAACATGTGTTTTTTAGGCTAGGTTATTTGTAAATAATAGAGGTTAATGTGTTTTGAGATTTGAAATAAGAAAAGCGTGAACATATTCGATACCAGATAAATTGTTTAAAATTGCTAAAAATCTGTCTTTACCATAGTGCATAACATGTAAATGGTTATGGATTTCTCTGTGTGCAGTTTTTCTATGCCATTTTATTGGGGGGGGGCAATCTAATAATTATTTTCATTAAAACTTACGACAAGAAAATAAAATTCACTTTAACTCCTCCAAATTGTTGATTGGAAATGATACAGTGTAGTGTTAAAATAGGAAGCAACTGCAAAAGCACAGTAAAAATAACTAAGTTGACATTAGTTATTAGCCTAATGAATCTTTTGTAGTTCTTTATCAACATTGCCATAAAATTCTGGATGCTTCATTGGAAGTCATAGCCCCAAACACTTCATTATTTGCTTTATAAACTATTTAAAATATACTGGTTCTTTATATAATTGTTATTTATTAAGTAATAGATACTTGACTCTAATGTAAGTCATTGCTCGCTATTGCTAATGTTGTTTACTTATGTGTCATCACTATACTAATCTTTTATGTGCATTATTTTGTTAGTCCTCAGATGAACCTCTAAACTTTACCTTTAAAGGCCTGCTTTCATTGACACCTTTCTTATACCTGAAGAAATTGAGTTTTGAAGAAATTAAGTCTATAAGTTTGAACAGCAGAGTTGAGATTCAGACCATGAATCTGACTCGAGCATCATTGTTCTTAAAGTTAGCATATTTTCGTTCTAGCTTTTGAAATTGTTTTATTTATAAATACACATTTGTTGCATTTACTATATTAGACTGAGATTTTTATAGTATTTTAAGTAAATACTATTATTTTCTAGTCTTCGGTATAATAAAAATGTTAATCATGATTTTAAGGATATTCATACTTAACTGTTAGCATTTTTCCTCTTAAAAAATATAAAGCTTTGAATTTATAAAAATAAACCAGTGCTCTTTGATAAATGTTATAAATTGAATATCAGATTACAAATTGTAAGGCAGAATTTACATTCCATAATGTGATTTTTTTTGGTTTACAATAACTGAAAGCTATTAACTACTTGGCTCAAAATAATTAATTTTATTTCTCTCTTGTGAATTCAAATTTTTAATGAGTTGTTTATCTTAAACTTTTAAGAAGTAATGTATGTTTTAGAAGGTGGGATAAAAAGACTTAAACATTATTTCCTAAAGTTATTTTTACGTAAGAGTATGTGTGTACCAATCAAAACCTTCACTCCAGTATCCCAGATCTGCTTATTTCAAGGTAAAAAAAGTTCATTTGTCGGCTGAAATTCTGGTTTGGACTAATATTTATGTGTTTTTGTGCTTAGAATAGGAATTTCACAGTGGATTTTGGAAATTCTTAGTTTGGATAAAAGCAAGTGATATATTTATAAAGTTACTATAAAAATAAAAATGGTAATTTCCATTTTTAAAAACAATATGATTATGGAATTCTTTTTACATGTGTTTAGTATAGGCTCTGAATTGAAAAATAAAGTATGGTCTGTATTGACCCCCAAAATATTCCATAAATTAGTTTAACAAATGTATGGAAAGTTTTTCATATCTTAAACCTAACTCTTCTAGAAGGAAATTGTTGCCTTCTGTGGAATTACATTAATTGAAATGTGTTTAAGAGAAATGTTTTCAGCATATTTTGTATACTAAGAAACAAAAAGGATTAGTATTGGGCCAATGGCCAAGAGGTAATATTACTACCATGTAGACTGTTACAGTTCAAATTGTCCCACTTCCCCCAGAATTTTAGAAACTAGAAGTCTGGGAGATGCCGTCAGCTGTAGTTGGGTGATTCCATGTGCTGTAAGTACTATTCATAATTAATGTGTGAGATGGAACAAATGCCAAGTTGCAAAAGATACATAATTTCATTATGTAATGATTTGTTTAGGCATAAAATATCAGCAAGCAATGCCTTGTGTGTATTGTCTATTTCCTTGTAGAACTAAAATAAAGATTGGGCAAATTGATTCGAAATGCTTGCTGACTTGACCTGCTGGGTCAGATATTTGAATGATATTAATGGGTACTTTCTCACCCTTGATTCTAATTGTGGAATAAAGAGTAATATAGAATGTGAGACTATACTTTGGGCACCTGCCCTTTTGCTTGTATTGTATAATGACCCTCTGTCATGACAAGTTGAGCAGTTCTGTAATTGTAACTCTTGTTGCTGTTTGTGTGGCATACTGTGCTTGTTATAGCAAGAGACTAGCAATGTCCTCAAAATACTATTTTTAAAATTGAGTTGTAACTGTTAC